AACCTAGGACTAGATCCAATCCTTTTCGTAAATTCTTGGGTTAAAGCCGACTTGAAGTTTGTGCCTTGATCACTGGCAATTATACTCGGAATTCCAGTCCTCGAAAATATTTGTAATAGAGAGTCACATGCATTTTTGGCTGTTAGGGATCTAAGTGGTACTGCTTCAGGCCAACGTGTATGTTGATCCATCATACAAAGAACGTATTTATGCCCTCTACCAGATGGCGGTTGAATAGGTCCGATCACGTCTATGTTAACAATCTCAAAGGGAAGTACAGGACGGACAATAGGTGTAATGGGAGCTCTATCTCCAATTTTCTCAGGCTTCCGAAGCTGACACCCTTTGCATGTCTGGACGAATTCAGCAATTTCGCCAGACATATTTGGCCAAAAGAAATTATATTTTATCCTCTCTTTTGTTTTCTTAACCCCCATATGGCCTCCAAAAACTGACTCATGGGCTAGTTTCATTACCTTATCTATTCTGCAATGCGGTAAAACTAATTGCATAACTGGTTCATTTAGAATTTTATCCCTGTGATAAATTAATCCATCAATTAATAAAAAATTTCCTTTGTTTAATTTTAACTCTTCACGAACCGTTTTAAGAGAATCACAAGTATTCTGCTCATCTTTCATTTTAGTGTAATCCGAATTAAAATTTATATTATCTGAGTCACTCTCAACATAAAATATATCTTTCCCACACTCTGCTTCATTTTCATCATTTGAAAACGCAGTAGAACTATCAGCCGATTCGGCAAAAATCTCATTTTCCTTTTTATTATTTTTGTCATTTATTGAACACAAAGACTCATATAAAGCAGGAGGTATTAAAGCATCAGCATTTAATTTATCTGTGATCGCTACCAAGCAATCCATTGGATGATTCAAAGAATTATTATCGAGAGCTATAGCGGTTTTAATTAGTTTTGCTTCTACATTTTCTCCGAATGCAGAGCTTAAAGTAATTTTTCCGAATTCATCATTAGAACTATCTGGAAAGGTATCGGAATTGCATATAAAAATCTGGGTTCCGCTATCCAAAACACAATTTATTGCTTTCCCGTTAATATAAACAATTACATATTTCAAAGGCTCAAGGTCAACTTTCGGTTGTACATATTGCACTTGAGAAGTCTCTTTTTCTCATTTTTTAATTTAGAATACTTTCTATTACAATCTCGAGCTAAATGGTTTTCACCGCAAATGTAGCATTCTATTTTTTTATTTAACCTACTTTGTTTTGAGTTAATAAATTTGTTTTCTTTCGAATTGAGATTTATTACTTCCCGTCTCGCGTTAGGAGGGATATATTTAAAATCCTTGCGTGAGTCATTCTGATTATGACATGCTCTATGTGTAAACTCCGAAAATGATTTTCCTTTACAAGCATAAAACATGTCACACTCTTTTCCCATTTCAATTGGTTTGAACCAATTTTGCTCCTGTTTTATATTTATATGAACGGCAGTTTCATTATCTAATGTTTCATATAGTTTATCGCTAACAATTAACTCCTTTAAAGAATTAAAATCATTTACATCTCTCAAATTACAGTATTGATCCCAATTCGTTAACAAACGAGATGCCAACTGAACATGCGTTTCATTTGGCATTCGTTTCGCTTTTTGAAAATTTTGCAAGCAAATTAAAGGTGTTGGCTCAAATTCTCTTAGAACTAAACTTTTTAATTTATTATAGTCGCTTATTTCTTCATCTTTTACATAAACCAAAATATTTTCGGCCTTTTCTCCTAGCAAATTTAAAAGAATCTCTCCTTTAAATTCATCCGGCACATTTTTGGTTTTAAATGAACGTTCTAAAGAAGAGAAAAATAAATTCCACCCCTCTTGTTTTTTAGGAATCGGCAGAGTTAAAGTACGAACACTTAGAATAAAATTTTCTATCGAAGTTTGCTTTGTTTCAGGATTTGTACGCTGCAACTCATTGCTATCCCTTTGACTTTCCAATTTTGCCCTTTCTAAATTTATTTTTCCCAATTCTATTTCCAGTTTAACTTTTCCAGATTTATTCTTTCAAACTCAAGCTGCGATTCTGCCGTTAAACGCGCTTGCTCTTCCTTCGATTTTCTGTCCGCACGCGCTTGTTCTTCGTACGATATTCTGTTCGAAATAATTGAATCTAAATAGTCATCCATAAACTCTTTATTGTTTTTATACTTCTCGCTATTTAAAATTAAATTTTTAAATCTAGCACTTTCATTTCTGGGGTTGTTTTCTCACCCAATTCATCCGCAATTAATATTAATTCCTCCTTTCTAGCTCCGCGAAACATGATTAGAAAGAAAGAACTATACCAAATGAATTAACCCAGAAAATTTAGAAAAGAGAAAAAAAAACCTTGCTGAATTCGCTCAAAACGATACAAAAGGGTTGCCTACCTCGTGGTTCCTTTTGATGTCTTGACTCCCTCAGGCGTTCTAGATCCTGTCGTGATGCGCCAATGTGATACGTTGTGGTAAAATGTATAATATTGTTTCAGTTTTCCCCAACAGAGAGACGTATTTTACGGACAGCACTTTTATTCAATATAAACATGTAAATTTTAAAATTAAAGTACCCACGCGGGTAATGTTTCAAAATGGCCTCCGACCTAACGCGCCGGTGCCGAGAGACTCTCTCTTATATAAAAAAACACATTCTTACCGGAGGGGAGCACAGTGCGCCTCCTGGTGAAGGGAGGAAACACTACACAGGGGAATTTTCAGTAAGTGCCATGAAACTTCTCGATAGGGAAAGACTAATGAAAGCAATTTATGCTTTTTCTGGACGCTCGAAGAAAATTAGAAAAGATAAAAGAAGAAAAAGAAAGAAAGAAGAAGATAATATTAAGAAAAATAAGGTAAAAACCGGCTACAGTGCAGGATCTTTTTGATGAGGTAAAAATTTATACAAAAGCTACTGTGTTTTCTAATTAATATATTTTTCAAGTAATCTGTTCTTTTTTCTTTAAATCTACTGTATGCATGGATTGGAGACTTTTACTATATATTTCATATATATTGTTGTGTGTTCTTATTCTTTATGCAAAATTTTTTAAATATTTCTTTGACATTTTTCACTAATGAACACATGTCGTAACACAGAAAATGACTATTTTTATTAAATTGTGTATTCTTTTTTTTTTCTATAAATCTACCGTATGCATGAACTGGAAATTTTTACTATATTTTTCATATGTATTGTGTGTTTTTATTCTTTATGCAAAAATTTTTAAATATTTCTTTGACATTTTTCACTAATGAACACATGTCGTAACACAGAAAATGATGATTTTTATTAAATTGTGTATTCTTTTTTTCTATAAATCTACCATATGCATGAACTGGAAATTTTTACTATATATTTCATATGTATTGTATGTTTTTATTCTTTATGTAAAAAATATTTCTCAGACATTTTTCACTAATGAACATATGTCGTGACACAGAAAATGACAGTTTTTAATAAATTGTGTATTCCTTTTTTTCTATACTTCTACTGTATGCATGAACAGGAAATTTTTACTATATATTTCATATGTATTGTGTATTTATACAAATTTTTAAGCTTTGGTGTTCAATAGTTTTTTAGTAAAAGGTTTATAAATATCTAAAAATGCAATGCCTTTTTTCGTTGCACATAGCTTGTTTCATATATAAAAATACATAAATTTCATGTTCAAGAAATCTGTTTTTATGTTTTTGTTGTTTTGAATACCATTTACCAAATATTTAAAGAAAATTTTTAATTCTGCTGCTGTAAAACATTGTGTTAACAGGTGAATATATAAAACACTAATGAAACTTTTTGAAATAGTGTATAATCATGTATTACCAAAGCCATATTTTCATGTATTGACACATTTTCACATGGTATTTATGATGCTTTATAGTCAAAATTTGATGAAAGTAATGTATCAGAACTGAAAATTCCTCAAAAATTGATACAGAATTTGAGTAAAATAATTAAACGCTAAAAATACCTCGATAGCTTAAAAGTGAAAAATGCTATAAATGTATTTTCTGAGAAATCTAAGTATAAGAAAAAACTAAAAAGCCTTAAAAGTAATAGAGAATAAGCTAATATTTAATAAAATAGGGCAAATACTTGTTGTAATTCATTATTTTTGTGATCAAGTGCTTTTTTACACTAAAAATGCAATTATCTCAAAATGGTTGTTTTCAAACTGCGGGTACAGTTTTCTCAGAATCTACAGAATGAGTGCTCATGCAATTTTTACTGCACATAAATAATATGTAACTCTATATACTAAGCTTATTTTTTTGGAGAATTTCCTGAAATATTTTGCTGAAAAGCAGTTATCGTAAAAAATTTGACAGTTTTCAAAAATTTCAAGGTGATACTTTTACGATGAATTTTTTGAAAAAAAGTAAACAATATATTTTAAATATATTTACCAGTATTTAAATAAAAAAGCCTAATTAATATACAGACAAAATTTGAAGTTTATATATTTAACAGTTTCTGAGAAACTTGAACCTAAAATGGCTCAATTTAACATTGTCGGTATAGGCCCTACCGACTTCCCTTAATATCTTTTTAACTAATGGCGATATCGGAAGATAAACCATCAAAACATGCATTGTCCTCCAAACTAAACGAGTATACAAAATTTCAGCTCAATCGGTTGAAGACATCAGCTTCAAAATTAAGTTGCACGATTCCACCCGAACAAATTAGTTTAATTAATATCTTTTTAACTCATTGTGATATCAGAATATAAATGGTCAAAACATGCATTGTCATCCAAATTTAACGTGTATACAAAATTTCAACTCAAGTGGTGGAAGACCTTAGCTTCAAAATTGAGTTGCAAGAATCCACTCGAACATTTTACATTGCAAGTTAAATAAAAGCTTGTGTGTGTAAAATATAACATACTTTATACGTATACGGAAAGGAAGTATTGTAAAATATCTCGTTGTTCAAATCAAATGAATTTCAAAAATATTTTAAACGAAAAAATAATAATTGGAGGCGCGGGGTATCGGTCCCCTTACTTCTCGCCTACTAAGCGAGCGCTCTACCATCTGAGCTACACTCCCGGTTGACACCTGTGTTATTGTAATTATGCTCGTTTTAACACCTGAACAAGTTCGTTACAGTAACTAGGTCAATTAAAAGTGTTACGGGAGAAACTAGAATCGAGTAAATAGATATCGTAGAATGTTTCAAAGTAAATAGAAATAGCTTGATAGATCTGCATTTCTTAGTGTTACCTCTAGAACAGTAGAAAATATAACATACTTTGTACGTATGCCTGAGTAGAAGTATTGTAAAATATCCCGTTGTACAAATCAAACGAATTTCAGAAATATTTTACACGAAGAAATAATAATTGGAGGCGCGGGGTATCGGTCCCCGTACCTCTCACATGCCAAGCGAGTACTCTATCGTATCTATCGTACTCTATCGCATCTTCCATTCGTGGATGCGGCCTGCTGTTCATCTCCTGCGTCTCTTATCCGTCAGCTCCTTCTTTGGAAAGGAATTTCGGTTACCCATCTTCCATTCGTGAATGCGGTCAGCTGTTCATCTCCCGCATCACAGATTCGTCAACTCCTTCACCGAAACGGAACTTCTTTTACCCATCTTCCATCTGTAGATGCACAATGCTGTTCAACTCCCGCATCACTGATCCGTCAGCTCCTTCACCGGAACGAAATTTCTTTTACCCATCTTCCATCCGTAGATGCGGCCTGCTGTTCATCTCGCGCATCTCTTATCAGTCAGCCCCTTCATCGGAACAGAATTTCTTTTACCCATCTTCCATCCGTGGATGCGGTCTGCAGTTCATTTTCCACAAACACCACTCTTCACACAGTTTCTTCTTCAGCGGCATGTTGTCACCCTGATAGTTGTTCTTCCTGAAAACCAATTTTAATATTCATTGTTCTATTTTTTCAGTGATTGTGAGTCTGAGGGAGGGAAGAAATGAAGGAAAGCGGTCCACGATCCCCTAATATTCGGTAGCTTTTACATTGGCCTTTATTTCCTGAAATTCCTGGTTAAATTCCTCTGAGAAGGGGAATTTGTGAACAACAACGGGCCAAGAAACTTTCAAACGAGGCTCTATGTGTTATTGCGCGAGTTCATTGATACAATTAGAATGTTTGGATACACAAAAATAATTCTGTCACGTAATCATTCAGGTGTGAACTGCCATGGTTTAAAAGACAGTGCACAGCATAAAAAGTAGATTCCTCTAGCTCCTAAAAATCTTCAAAATACAAAACTGGAATTTTCTCTCATGCCCTCACTCCTCTTTCTAAGACAAGGTACGTTTTTTTTTTATTTTCAATGATAATTTGAAGAATTTATTTTTTGATTGAAGATGTTAAATAGAAATAATTGCATCAAACTTTTAATTTCTGCGTCCGGAGTTTTCATTTACACAAACTGGAACTTGAGATTGTTATTAACCACTAGCTTCATATAAGACTTCGTATCAATAGTAATATAGTATAATTACGACTATGAACCAACATAAAATACAACAAAACTATTGTAAAAATCCACCACATACAATAAAAAATGAACAATATATATATATATATATATATATATATATATATATATATATATATAATATATTCATAGTAAAACTATGTAACAAACCTTCAAAAAACTGCACGAAGTATTAATTTTTGCAGAGTTAGACGTAATTTAGTAAGAAGCCATACGCCACTTAGCTGGAAAACTGCTTAAAAATTGAATTACAAAAATATGGAAAGCAAATTCTGAAAAAATCTCTTAAAGTTGCAAGCTATCAAGACTTATTTGTTTCTACGCTCCAAGATTCATACGTCTGGGCTGCTTAGTTTTCTTATATATCAGTTAAAACACACAGACTTTCTCCCTTATTATAATAATCATATTTCTCTTCTTTAAAATAATTTAGAGATTAGTTAAAAAATGTGTTATAGAATATCACTTACAATCTTAGGTAGCTTCTATAAATTTCCTCAGCAGAATGTGCTCAATTTTATTGTTTTATAACAATACACTCAGGAGTGACGAACTTGTATAATGCATCCTTTTTTTTCTTTGAAGTTTTAATTTTCAATGCTTGCATCTATAAAATATTAAACTAAGCGCTAAAATTAATATTTATTTTATATGTTACCTATGATCACGAAAAGAATAATTACATCTCGACTAAGCTGGTTTCTCGAGTCTAATAAACTCATATCCCCAACTCAGGCCAGTTATAGAAAATGGATACCCACAAGCCAAGATACTTTGCTGAGTCAGTCTGTAAAGGACGCTCTCCATCAAATACGCTTTGTTCTGGCTGTGTTTGTGGAATTTGAGGCTACTTTTGATAAAGTTTGGCAACTCAAATGTATCCAGAAATTACAAAACCTGAGCGTGTGCAGTAATATGCTCTCTTGGATCAGGAATGTTCTTTCTCGGTGTGCCGGTCGTTTGGGGGATTCTGTGTTCAACTTTAAACAAAATGAAACTAGCAGTGTGATCAATCCCATTTTATTCAAGATCTTAATTGATGCATTACTGGGTATTTTAACTTCTGATGGACTGACTAGTGCTGCTCTTTTTACGGACGACCATGCTATTTGGTGTTGCACACCTAAAAGAGAACAGTTCTATAGTTCATAAGTTTTATCCTGAATAAGTCTCTTCAGAGGCTGGGGTTAAAAGAATATAACTATAAACCTTGGAAAGAATACATCAGTATTTTACCTTAAATATCCAACCTTACAGTTTGCTTATAGAGGTTCTCGCTTGCAGCCTAGTAATGTTTTAACTTATCTGGGCTGCATCTCAGATACCAAATTGAAATGGACCAAACATGTTGAACACGTATTACCAAAAGCTAGGAAGAGACTCCATTCTCAAGAGACTAGCTGGAGCTAAATGGGGATGTGGCAGAGCTACCCTTAACATTACTTTTAAGACTTATGTCCATCCGGTTTTAAAATATTACAATGAAGCGCTGATCTCTGCCTCTGATAGTGTCTTGGAAATGCTAAAAGTTTTCGAAAACCAGGCTTTACGATTGATCACTGGAGGTGTTAAAACTTCTCCCTTACTTTCTAAGCATTTACTTGTGTCACCTACAGTAATTGACTAACCTGGTTTGGAGGAATGAAGCTATCCTGTATAATAGACACTAAGACTCCCAAATATTTCCTTCTGGCGTGATTACGATTTACCTTAAATATCCAACCTTACAGTTTGCTTATAGAGGTTCTCGCTTGCAGCCTAGTAATGTTTTAACTTATCTGGGCTGCATCTCAGATACCAAATTGAAATGGACCAAACATGTTGAACACGTATTACCAAAAGCTAGGAAGAGACTCCATTCTCAAGAGACTAGCTGGAGCTAAATGGGGATGTGGCAGAGCTACCCTTAACATTACTTTTAAGACTTATGTCCATCCGGTTTTAAAATATTACAATGAAGCGCTGATCTCTGCCTCTGATAGTGTCTTGGAAATGCTAAAAGTTTTCGAAAACCAGGCTTTACGATTGATCACTGGAGGTGTTAAAACTTCTCCCTTACTTTCTAAGCATTTACTTGTGTCACCTACAGTAATTGACTAACCTGGTTTGGAGGAATGAAGCTATCCTGTATAATAGACACTAAGACTCCCAAATATTTCCTTCTGGCGTGATTACGACTTTGACAGGGAACGCAATATTAATACTCAGAAGGGCTTCATTCAATGCGTACGGGAGAACGCCCAATATAATTCCATTAACAACAAGGCCTATGAACTATTATCCCACATAAATCCACTGGAGTTTATGCTTCTCGGTGTTAGATTGGACTTGACTTAGAATGCGAGAAAAAAATGACTTTTGCCCGACTGCTCTTCGAGCCATTGCATTGGAAACCATTGATTAGCCTAATTTGGCTCTTGTGCCATAAAATCAATCAATTGGAAACCATTAGTACTCGTTATCCTCCTGATGAAAGTGGCTTTATATCTAAACTGATGTTTCCCTTTTGGACTTCACCTAGGGCACTGATGCTTTCTGGGATCTATTTTCCTTTTACTTACATGTTGGCTCTCATACGACCCATTCGGATGTAGGGATGACGATTCTTTACGAAAAAGATCGATTTTTAAATAGATTCGAATCGTAACCCGATGAATCGATTCACAAAAAAATCGAGGTCTAAAAGATCGATTTCTAAAAAATCGATTTTTTTTCTAGTCTGCATTTACAACATAAATATAAATCCATTTGATGAAAAACAAGAAAAATACCATAATAAACGATCACTAATTAGTAAAATCAGGGGATGTTTTTAACTATTCATGGAAAGAAAGGTGCCATAGCCTCCAGGAGGTTGGACTTCTACCTGTTGGTCCACGGAAGGTATTTTATTTCCCTTCTACCACCCATTGGAAACCAATGGAGGCGTTCCCCTATCCGCCACCTGGGGACGCGCCCTCTAGGGGTTACAGGCTCCCCCGAGGAAGAAAATTTTTCGTTAGATTTAACGGGGCACTTTCAGAATCTCGCAGAATGTGGGCTGGAGTTCCTCAAGGCTCTGTCTTAAGCCCCTTGCTCTTTCTCATCTTTATGAACACCATCCACCATCATATTCACCCAGACACAAATATCGCCTGCTACGCTGACGATATTGCTGTATGGCACTCACACAATGACATTACAGAATCGGAAAAGGCCCTAAACACAACACTGAAAGGTATTGCTGAATGGGCGGAAAATCTTAAATTAACCATCAACGCAGACAAAACAAACTACTGCATCTTCTCTACCGATAGACGACACAGAAGCAGTTTTAATGCTAATATCAAAATACAGAACTCTCAAATCAAAAAAGTCGATCTACCCACCTATCTTGGAGTAACCTTAGATCCCGAACTCCGCTTTTCAAAGCACATCGAACAAACTACCAACAAAGCTCTTGGAAAACTGAATATTCTTCGAAAGCTATGCGGAACTTCTTGGGGCTCAAGACCTCAAACCCTAAAAAGCACTTTCTGCACTGTTATCAGACCGGTTTTAGAATATGCGACCCCAATTTGGACTCCGGCCACTTTTT